AAGTTCAAGGACTAGGTCTGGTGGGACGTCAGGAGCCTGAGTTTTGTGTGCAGCTCATCATGGACATATGACCAAGTGTGAAAACCTACCCTGGAAAGGAATAGTCTCCCCCTACCATCTAACCTGACCCTTCCTTCTGATCATTTCTCCTCCCTATTCATTTAACTTTATGTTCTTTTTGTGTATTACATGGTCTGAGATTGCAGAGAGCAATAATAAATACTCCATTCCATGTTGTGTGCTTTTGTGCTCCTATCTCATAGCAAAAATATGAAGAACAATGGGTATGGGAGGAGTTCTAGGTCTTGCCTCTATCCAATGTTATTTATTCCTCCAGGGAAAATGCTTAAATGTACATCCCCACCAGTGTGTTTATGATCAGTATATAGTCCCTGTTCATGTACCTTTGTGTTGTTTATAGAAAAAGACATTACTCACCTACACATTCTATTACACATTCCTCCTCTTTGTAATACTAACAGCCTTAGTGGTATCTGAAGATCTTAGAAGAGCACATCTGTAATCATTTGCTATCATTGATATTTTTTTTCTTTAATTTGCAACCTTCCTTGGACCCTGACTTTTATAAAATACATTGAAAAATGAATGGGTTTCTGATTATAGTGCTTACAGGTAGAGCATTAGAAGTTGTCACTCTCCTCCTTAAAACAGTTCTATTCTTAAACTAACAACCAGAAAAATATTTGAAATTGCGATAACTTGTGGTGACCAATTGGGATTCATCTCCTGGGACTGGACTTAATTGCCTTCCATACAAAATCAGATTCAAAAAAATTTTTTTAAACATTTTTATTTATTTTTGAGGGACAGAGAGAGATAGAACACGAGTAGAGGAGAGAGAGGCAGAGAGGGAGACACAGAATCTGAAGCAGCCTCTAGACTCTGAGCTGTCAGCATAGAGCCCGATGCAGGGCTCAAACCCACGAGCTGTGAAATCATAACCTCAGCCAAAGTTGGACACTTAACTGACTGAGCCACCCAGGTGGTCCTGATTTTTTTTTAAATGTTTATTTACTTTGAGGGAGAGAGAGACAGCATGCGAGCAGGGGAGGGGCAGAGAGAGAGGGAGACACAGAATCCCAAGCAGGCTCCAGGCTTCGAGATCTGAGCTGTCAGCACAGAGCCGAGTGCAAGGCTTGAACTCATGAACCACCAGATCATGATGTGAGCCTAAATCGGAAGCTGACTGAGCCACGTAGGCACCCCCAAGATCAGATTTTTTTTTACAGAATTTAAAAATAATGGCTTTTTTCAAGTCAGTCAATATTGTCTACTACACCTAGAGCCATGCTTGAGTTCCTAAAATACTAATCACAGTTGCTAAACTCATAGTCTGTATTCATAACCATTTATATCCTGAATAATCATAAATTTATTTCCTCTAGTGAACTCTTATGAACTTTTGTATCTAGAAGTCTAGAACAAAGGTAGGCAGGCAGTTTTTATCTCTTCTCTCTCTATCTGTTCTCCCCCACTGAACCTTCCATAATATAATGCCCTCTGGGTAGTTCCAATGCAGTTGATAAAAATGCTTCTCTCTCCTAATAATAACAACAACAATGATAATAATAATAAATAGTAATAAATAATCTCTTATTTTCTCTCACTAAAAATTACTCCTACACCAGGGAAGAAGGTGTGGGTTCTCCAATTTGTGTTGGAGCCCTGGATGCCTAACATGTATGCAAAAAACTTTTTGTTATATCCAATATCTGGATTCCCCATAATTACTTCTTTCAGAGTCCAGCTGGGTTGCTGACAGCTTGTAAGTGCCTTGCCTGAGACACACATAGGCTTCTGTTAGGCTGACTCAGTGTAGACTATTTGGATATAAGCTGCTGACATGCATTCTAACTCACTCAAGCAAAGGGGGAGGTTTTGGGAAGTATGTGGATTTATCTCAGTGCACCAAGATTAGGGAAGATAGCTGAAAGACTAGGAAAAGGAAAAATAAAGTTAGGAAATGAGGTTAATTTCTTCTTCCTTTTTTCTATTTTATTTCACTGGGTGCGATTTCTTTTAGCCAATCAGTTTCCTTGCCCTTGGGATAACTCAAGGTGACATGGCTAACTCATTCTACCAAACTTTTCACTCCAGGGATTCAAAACTTTAAGTACATTTTCAGTAAACAAATTTGTTTTCAGGAGAATATCTGATTATTCCAGCTAAGACTGGGTATTCACCTCAGTCTAGTCAGCTGAGGGAAAGAATTTGAGTCATGTAGTATTACTATGGGAGCCAAACTCACCTTTTAAGTAGGATCTGTGGATGTGACCCAGTTTTTAGTGAAGGGTGCAGGAAGGCACTCCAACAGAAGTTTGCTGCAATAGACATGACTTAATTGTCTCATTGTTTTGTTCTGACCTTGGCCTGTTTTCTGATTGAATCTTATTCTTTGGGTATTCACATATTGCCACAGGTACCATACCTGCCTCTGTTCTTGGACTGTCCTCCAGACTTTCAGGAGTTGTCAGCTGGCTATTGTACTTACTGCTGTCATTGTATTTACCCAATTCCTGTTTGTTTTGAGGACTGTGAATAACCTGTCATGATGTGGATTTCTGCCAGTCACTGTAAGCCAATGAATTGGACAAAACCTTCCCATTTGGAACAGCACATCACCACAGGCTCCTGGGCCTCTTGATGGTGTTTCTGTCATGGACTTTACTCTCATCTAGAGTTCAGGAGGCAAAACAATTTGATAGAAATAGCACCTACAAAGAACATCTGGATAAGAGTTAGGTGAACTGAGGCACCCTATTTCCTAATATCTCTGAATGTAACTTGGTGATTCATCCCTTTAGGTTTTTTTTTGTAATTTATTTTTTAATTTTTTTAATGTTTATTCATTTTTGAGACAGAGAGAGACAGAGCATGAATGGAGGAGGGTCAGAGAGAGAGGGAGACACAGAATCTGAAGCAGGCTCCAGGCTCTGAGCTATCAGCACAGAGCCCGACGCGGGGCTTGAACTCACAGACTGTGAGATCAGGACCTGAGCCGAAGTCGGAAGCTCAACCGACTGAGCCACCCAGGCGCCCCTCATCCCTTGAGTTTTAACAGAGTTCTTCCCTTTCCACCTCCAAACCTCCTACCACCAAACCACCTTTGTCCATTCTTCTTAAGTAGTTTTTTAAGTGCACCTCCAGGGTACCGTAGCACATCAACCATGTAGATCTCTGCAATTTATGTGTATATTTAACACATGGATTTATTTATAGATTTCTCCCACATGTCTAAAAAAGAATTCTCTAAAATTGCTTTCCTTGCAATACTCATTTCGTGAGCTACTCATAGACAACAATTTTGTCGTGTGTATACATTTTGGAAATACTCCTTAGGAAGTTCTAAAGTATACAGAGTTAAGTAGGTTTCTTTACTGCATGGCTTTTCCAAGTATTTGTATGCAAATGTATGAAAATAAAGTCATAGGGTTGTCAGCTCATCAGGCATTTATTTGGTCACACGTTTCTGTGTGCCTGTTTGTGTATCTATATTTGGGAGAAATACCTATTAATAGATCATAAGTTGAATTCAGTTTTAATAATAGTCAAAATCACTGTTTTTTCATAGCAGGGATTCCAACTTAGTCATTCGAAGTCATTAAATCAATTTAGTGGGTAATACA